CTCCCTTCCCCCCCCCCCCCCCCCCCCCGCCATAAAGAGAAAAGAACGACTGACAAGGGTAAAGAGAAGACTGGGGAGCAGATTCACCAGCGATAAATCGTAGGCAACCTGAAACGCATCCGCCAAGTGCCTTGAAGCTCTCAACAATCCCGGCTCTCGTCCAGGGCCTGTAAGGCCCATACCCACACCGGGCCCAAAGAACCCAATGCTCACAGGACCCGCGGCCGCAAGCAACACGACCCAAGCGTTCGGGTCACAGGTGTGGGCTGAGGATGTGAAAGGAGGTGCGGTCCAACCCAGCTCGGAGTTAGCCGGACAGGTCTCGGCGGCTCGGCGTCCGGCGGGATTCACCCGCTTCCCAGAAACCCACCAGAGCCGGACACAGCGAGGAGCAAGCTCGAACCTACGACCCGCCCCGGGCCACACCCTTCAGTGAGCCAGACCCGCCCACAGCCTCGTCTCCCCCCCCCCCCCCCCAGGCTCCAGCAACTCCGGGACAACTTCCGCCGACTCGCGGCCCTTCAGAGTGTCTGGCTCAGGGGTGAGGGGCCCCGGGATGGAAGACCCCCCTCCCCAACACAGCTAAAAGTCACCGCACCTCCAGTTTCCTACCTTACCGGCGCCTGCGGCGGTAGCCACTCCGGAGGCCCAGGCCAGGAGAAAGCCCCCCCCGAGCCCGCTGCTCACTGGGAAATGTAGTTCTGGGCTCGGCTCCACACCAACGCCCCAACGCTCCGTAGCGTTCTTCCTCTGAGGACTGGAACTCGGCCCCGCCCACGGGGCGCGATGCTTCCTGGGTATTGTAGTTCTGAGGTTCGCTCTTGGGCCGGTGAAATGAGCGACGCAGCGTGCAAAAGAAACTCTCTCACCTGATTGGACGAGGTCTCCAACACGCTTCTGCGCAGAGTAAGGGGGGCGTCGCAACGCCTGGGGGAGAGGGAAGCGGTAGCGTTCTCGAATCGTTGCCTCTGGCTTTTCTGCTGACAGGATTTGTTAGCCGGTTCCTCTTTTCTGTGTGTTGTTGTGGTTGTGTGTGTGTGTTGCCCGCACCCCGCCCTCTCCTCATTTGTTTCCCCTCGGCTTGGATCCTGCCCAGTGGGCAGTGACGCCACTCGTATCCGCCCGCCGTGGGTCCCCCTCCCCACCCCCACCCCAGGTCCCCCGGCGCGGAGGCGGTAACTATGGAGAACATGGCGGAGGAGGAGCTGCTACCCCTGGAGAAGGAGGAGGGAGCTCAGGTCGGCGTCCCGACCTCGGCCCCGGCCTCGGCCCGGGTGTCAGATTCGGCTCCGGAACCGGCTCCGACTCCGGCCTCGGCTCCAGCCCCAGCCCTTGCCCGGGCCCAGACTCCGGCCCTGTCCCCGTCCCTAGCGTCTGCCCCCGAGGAGGCGGAAAGCAGTAAGTGCCGGAGCCCGCATCGTCCCCCGCCGCAGGAGAGCCGGGGGAGTTGAGGGAGGGGGATCGCGGGGATCGGCAGGTCTGGGTTCGGAGCGGAGGGGGCCGGGGTAGCGGGCGAGGGGAATTAAAGGGCGCGGAGTGCCCGGAGGCACCTCCGGAAGCCTCGGGGTCGTGTCAGTGAACAGCGCCCGGGGGGCCGGGAGGTGCTGTGGGCTCGAGTAAACGACCAGCATGAGATGATGAAAATCATCTCATGCTCAGAAGTAAGGTTCACGCAGTTATTGTGTGCTGGAGTCCGTCGCCAGCCCGCGCCGGCCGAGCCTCACCGGCCCTGGCGGGTTGGACGGCCCGAGGCGCCCCGGCTTGGAAACTGTCAACCAGCTTCTCAGCCTCGGTGTTTCCTTCTCCTTTGTAACTCGCTTCCCCCAGAGAATTCGAGACTTACAAAGTTGTTTGGTGGGAGACAGCTCAGTGCCCTCCTCCAGGTCTCGACACCGAACGAGTATGTATTTATTCCATCCCCTCAGAAGCTGACGGTTGAGCATGAGTAGTCCGTGTTACTGTGCTCTGAATCCGCTTCATGTTTTCTGAGTGGTAGTTAGTTGATTGGATCGTTTGGGAACTTTAAAACCTGACGATTAACCACTTCTGTAAGGACCTTCTGAACGTTTTTAAATGGCAAGGAAGGTTTAGCGACTACTTTCACGAAATTGTTTCATGGTCCGTAAATTGATGTTTCTTCCTCCTACTGAATAACCACGTAGGGTATTTTAACCTATCGTCTCTGCTACGATGTGACCAATTTTAAATTTGGTGTTTTTAAGACACTTGGATAGTTGTAGTCTAATAGAATTACCCTGCGATTTTAAAAGAACATTAACTGTTATAAGTAGATTTAAAACAAGTAGGTCTAATCGGAGCAAAGAAAAGTCACCATCTCAGGTAGACGCTTCATATACATGCATGGCTTGTACATGCAAAATAAGGCCTGTTTATTTCTTCACCTACAGTATGGTGGTGGATGGGGAGTTTTACACTGCAAAGTAGCCTTCTGCTTTTCAGATTATGTCTATTTAAATTGGTCACAAGAGATTCAGGTGCTTTAGGGAGTGTATGCTTTCTCCACCTCCTCACCATTAAGAATGTGTTAAGCCAGATACCTGTACTACACACTGAGATTGAAGGGGGATATGCAGTTGGAGACAAGCCTGGACTACAGAGAGAGACCCTGTCTCAAAAATAAAAATAAGGATTGGGAACATTTATGTATTCCAGGACTTATAAGTATCATATAAAGATGTATATACTGTTTGAGAAACTTGGAAAATGCATTACTGGGACAAATAATGACTGAGAAATCTGAAATGCGTTAGAATTAAGATACATATTAATAATACTCTAAAAATTATTTTTAGATGATCTAGTTAGTCTTTTGAAGTCAATCATAACTAGGGAAGATGAAGATGGTGTATCTGAAATAGAACTGAAAGCTGAGGAAACAGTAACAGAAGAAGTTTTAAAAGAATCTCCTGACATCTTGGACTCACCTAATTTAACAAGAGGTTTGCCTGTTGACTTCTAGATATTTAGTGTTACGAAAAGCAGGTTGAGTGATTTTAAAATACAGATTGCTTGATACTACCTTTCTTTAATCAGAAAGTGGTTTCAGAGATGTTTGATAGGTATAAATTTTGTAGACAAATCTTTGACAATTTTCTTCAAATGTGCTACAATTTTCAGTTTTCTAGTTTTACAGGCTTTCACTTTCAATAATTTCAGCAGGTACAACTTTATGTAATACTGTACATCTTGCTTCACAAACATAAGTCTTTGAACTATGGAGCCAAAAATCTTTGTGGCTTCCAATATTATAGGTTGGTTTGTACACATAGGATTCTTGACTATTACTGACTTAGCAATTAAAAGTATTTGATCAAACAGGAAAATTTTTTTGTCATTTATGAAAATTATACCTCATTAAGTTGTTTATTAATATGCTTTAGTACCTGCTGTACACAAGAACATGAATAAAGCCAGGTGGCTCACGCCTGTAATCCTAGCTACTCAGGAGGCTGAGATCTAAGGATCACAATTCAAAGCCAGCCCAGGCAGGAAGGTCTGTGAGATTCTTATCTCCAGAAAACCAGAAGTGGCTCAAGTGGTAGAGTGCTTGCCTTGAGCTGAAGAGCTGAGGGACAGCACCAAGGCCCACAGTTCAAGCCCCACCATTAAAAAAAGAAAATGAATAAAGAGTAGGTTGCTCTTTTTATTGCATATTTGTGAGGAAGACCAATTATTCTAATGAGTGAACACATGAACTGAGGCGATGGAGACTGGATGGTAACAATGTAAAAACCAAAGTTAATAGTCTTAAAAGAGTCTAATGAATATTAAAGAGCCCCAAGAGTGAATTCCATTTTCTCCTTCCACTTTGGGGAGCTTTACCCATCAGTTAGCGTCTTATACACTCACGTTCCCACTTTGTGAATGTTCCTTTGCTATGGATGCACATAAATTCAGATCTCCATCCTTAGAAAAAAGAGAATTACAATTTCATCCATCTTTTTAATTATCCGACTTCCTAAAAAAGTAACTATACTAATTTTCTGTATTTCATTTCCCTTTCTGATCTCATTTTTTCTCACAAACACCCCGCTGAACCTGCTTTTCTAAAGGTCACCAAGACATGCTGTATACTAAATCTCTTTAGACCTCTTGATCTGTACGGCTGTTTGTAGTATTCAGCATTGAGCATGTCTCTTTTACAGACTCATCTGTTAAGTACCTACATCTTTCCATGTTTCACTTCTAGAAATACCCATTTATATTAATCAGTAGTGGTTTTATCAGCTTTTGAGAGTGAATCCCCTCACACCTAGTCAAGAATATGTTAAAATATTTTAGAAGACATTTCAAAATTTTGTAAGGTATATAATTTGAAGACTCATTTTTCAAAAACGAGTCCATAACTGGGAAAAATATGATTCAAAAATATGAAATGTGGGGCTGGGAACGTGGCTTAGTGGTAGAGTGCTTGCCTCGCATGCATGAAGCCCTGCGTTCGATTCCTCAGTACCACATTCACAGAAAAAGCCAGAAGTGGTGTTGTGGCTCAAGTGGTAGAACGCTAGCCAGCCAAAGAAGCTCAGGGACAATGCCCAGGCCCAGAGATTAAGCCCCAGGACTGGCAAAAAGTAAAAAATAAAAAGTGTCACTAATTTAAAGATAATAAAATTACAGTATAGTTATCCAGTCATAACTGGGTAAGCTGAGTTGTTCCCCCCTCCCTCCCCCATTTCACAGCTTTTTTTCTTCTTTTTTTGTGCAGTGGTACTCAGGGCCTCAAGCAAGTGCTTGATAGGTTGTTCTCAGTTTTACCTAATATGCATTTTTCTGATTGGTATCTCCCTCCTGAGTGCCAGAAACAAATTTTCAGCAGCCTTCTGAAATTTGTGTGGTATATAAAACACATTATCAGAAAACACTTTTTCTGTTCCTTTCTACCAAAAGGGATTACTCTTCCTTCTTTGGTTAATGAAATTGACACCATCTTCCTCAACCATATAAACTCAAAATTTTAGAATTGTCTTTATTATGCAAAACTTCATCCCCCCCTGACTTCTCACATCCCAGCTTCCGTTCTTCTTTCTACTCTCTCTCACCTTTCTATTACTATTACTCATTTTCTCACCTCTTGGATCCACTTTGTCAAAAATTCCAGATGTTTCAAGAATAAAATCCAAACTAACTTACATAGAATTTCTTCCTCCCATGATGTAGATTTTTTTTCTTGAATATATCTACCTACTACTTTTTTATTTTTTGGGTTTTTTTGGGGGGGTCTGGTCGTGTGGCTTAAACTCTGGGCCTGGGCACTATCCCTCAGCTCTACAGCTCAAGGCTAGCGCTCTACCACCTGAGCCACAGCGCCACTTCCGGCTTTTTTTCTTTTTGCTTATGTGGTGCTGAGGAATCGAACCCAGGGCCTCAGGCATGCAAGGCAAGCGCTCTACCACTGAGCCACCTTCCCAGCCCCCCATTACTTTTTTAAAACATTTCCATTCTAGCCAAAGGTAGGGTAGTGGAAGCTATATGTTTTTGGGGTTGTTGTTGCTGTGTTTGGGTTTTTTTGTTGTTGTTGTTCTGCTGGTCCTGGGGCTTGAACTCAGCCCCTGGCTGCTATTACTGAGATTTTGTTTTGCTTAAAGCTAGAGCTCTACCACTTGAGCCAGAGCTCCACCTTGGGTTTGTTGTTGTTGTTGTTTTTGCTTTTTGGTTTTGTTGGTTGGAGATAAGAATCTCATAGACTTTCCTGCCCAGCCTGGCTTAGATCCTCAGGTCTTAGCTTCCTGAATAGCTAGGACTACAGGTTTAAGCCACCAGGGCTGGCTGTTAGCTGTTTGTTTTATAACACATACATTTTATTCATAAGGCTCCTTTAATTTATGAGTCACCCTACTAGGTCTCCAATTAATTGAAAATCTGCTCAGTACCTTAAGTAATAAGTGCCACTCAGTAACTTGTTAGAATTAGTCATTCCATGCATGACAAATCTTTGTCACTACATTCTACCTACCATTGCACTTAGAAATTAACATACTAATCTTTCCCATGTGGTTGAAAGTTCTTTGAAGACAAAAAATGGCTTATAGTTCTTCAGCACTTCATAAAAGATAAAAATAATTTTTGTGTAATTACAGTAACTATAGATTAAAATTTAAATCTGTGAATTTATACTGTGGATTTTTTTCTCCAACTTTTTTTTCTATTGTGAAACACATTTGTCATTTTGTAAAATGAATGTTGGTATTTATTTACCATTAGATTCTAGGACACTATATTACAGAAGATAAGTGTATAAACTTGTATATTATATGATCAAATAAAATGGAATTAGAAAACAAAATTTTTTAAATAAGTTTTTTATTGTGAAAATACTGTACAGAGGAAGAATTACAGTTACATGAGCAAGGTAATGAGTACATTTCTTATCAAGCATTGTTGCCTCCTCCTTTGTTTTTCCCCTACTATCCCTTCCCTCCCATTAGAAAACAAATTGTTAAAATGTGATTTTCTAACTCTTTAAATTTCCTTTCAGAGAGACACATCTCAATTCAAAGGCAGCTTGCTGATCTAGAGAAGCTAGCTTTCGTAACTGAAGGAGACTTTGATTCTACCAGTTCATTGAACTCAGATAATCTTGATGCAGGTAATTCCATTTGGGGAATTTTTTCCCTCTGAGTTGTTACCTTTCAGCTCATGAAAACAGTTTGCTTAGAATAGGTTGGCTTCACCAGGAGCCTGTAATTCTAGCTACTCAGGAGGCTGAGATCTGAGGATCGAGGTTCAAAGCCAAGGTTTATCTCCAATAAACCACCAGAAAACTAGAAGTGGTGCTATGGCTTAAGTGGCAGAGCGCTCACCTTGAGCTGAAGAGCTCAGGGATGATGCCCAGGCCCAGCGTTCAAGCCCTATGACCTACAATAAATAAATAAATAATATAAAATTAAAAGTGGACAAGACATAAATGAAAAAGCAAAGGTAATGAATGTTAAAAACTCAAAACGGACTGGGAAGGTGGCTCAGTGGTAGAGCGCTTGTCTTGCATGCATGAGGCCCTGGGTTCGATTCCTCAGCACCACATAAGCAAAAAGAAAAAAAGCCGGAAGTGGTACTGTGGCTCAAGTGGTAGAGCACTAGCCTTGAGCTGAAGAGCTGAGGGACAGCACCCAGGCCCAGAGTTCAGGCCCCATGACCCGACCCAAAAAAAAACCAAAAAATCTCAAAACAGGCTGGGAAGTTGGCTCAGTGGTAGAGTGCTTGCCTCTCATGCATGAGGCCCTGGGTTTGATTCCTCAGCACCACGTAAGCAGAAAAAAGCCCGAAGTGGCGCTGTAGCTCAAGTGGTAGGGTGCAAGCCCTGAGTCAAAGAGCTGAGGGACAGCGCCCAGGCCCAACCTCCACAACCAATAACAAAAAAAAAAAAATCAACCATTCCTAGTTACTATACGTTTTACTATTATCTCTGCCCTTCCAGTTATCTACACCTGTTTTATCAGCATAGTATTACTTTCCAAAGGTAAAATAAAGCATATCTCTTCCCAAACTCAGTTACTTGTGGTCTATTGTAAGTATGATTTTTGAAACATGTAAATTTAAGTAATATAGTTATCCTTTCAATCATATGGCATACTTTAACATCTTCTATACCATCTTAAGACATCTTAAGACAAACTCAGTATATTTACAACTTTAAACATGGAGTTCACTATTTTACTAATCTATAAAAATTCTTGTTCAATAGATATCCAGTAAGATGGGTGCCCACTACCATTGTATCATTTGTTCAGCAACTATCACCAGAAGGACTGACATGCTAGGGCATGTTAGGCGCCATGTGAATAAAGGAGAGACTAAGTCCAGGTACATTGTTGGTAAGTTAAGCCATCTCGTTAACATATTAGCAAGTAGACCCTTCAATTTTAATAATCTAGTTGTTCTTTGCAGACCCTTAGATAATGTATATTGATTTAACTAAATCATTTAGTTGACTACTAATGTTTTATTGTGTGATGTTTCCAATAACATTACAGCTATTCTCAACAGATTCTGACAAATGGTATAAGCCAAGCTTGGTAGTATTTGCCTACAATCCCAGTATTTGGGAAGTTGAGGCAAGAGGAGAGGATTGTGATTTCAAGGCCATCTACACTATACAACAAGAGTTTGCCTTCACAAAAACACGTGTGACACTCAACCACATATAACTTGACAGATTATTCCTACTAATGGCTTTTAAATCAGTAACTGTGTTATACTTACTGCACAATAAATAAAAGATGCAAAGAAAAATATTTATTTCTTGGTCCTGGGGTCTGAACTCTGGGCCTGGGCACTGTCCCTCAGCTCTTCAGCTCAAGGCTAGAGCTCTACCACTTGAGCCACAGTGCCATTTACGACTTTTTTCTGCTTATGTGGTGCTGAGGAATCGAACCCAGGGCCTCATGCATGCAAGGCAAGCGCTCTACCAGTGAGTTGCCTTCCCAGCACCCAAGATCTTTTATTTTGAGTGGTATCAAATCTCAAAAATTAAATTAGCCCTATGGCCTAAAGCACCACTTAATTTCTCATAGAACCTCATTCACCATTATTGATACTCGAGATGTGAATCATGCTTCTTCAGTGAAATAGAAAAATACTTAACATTAGGAAAGGCTACTTTTGTTGGCAGTATAGAAAGATGGTTGCTGTTTTGTCAACTTCTGATTGTAATTTCATTAAAATGCCACAGATATTTTAACCCAATTATTTTCCTCACAAATTACACATTATTTTTGAATATTTAAACATACATATTTATTACTTGAGTTTATAGCTTAAGTATTCTAGTGTATATCTTTTTTGGGGGGGGGGTGCTAGGCCTGGACCTTGAACTCCTCAGGGTCTGGGTGCTCAAGGATAGCGCCTCTACCACCTGAGTCACAGCTTCATTTCTGGCTTTTTCTTTTTGGTAGTTAATTGTAGACAGACTTTCCTGCCTGGGCTAGCTCTAGGCTACAATCCTCAGATCTCTGCCTCTGAATAGTTAATATTATAGGCACGTGCCATGGGCACCAGGCCTCTTAATACATATCTTGTTTTGGTTTGATTTGGCTTGGTTTTGGGGTTTTTTGTGTATGCCAATACTGATGCCAGAATTCAGAGCCTAGCTGCTGCGGGGGGGAG